TAGTTGTTAATGATTCTGGAAGATTGATTAAAAAGTATTCAATGGAAGCATAATTATCTGATTCCTCTTTGTCTAAAACTTCTCCAAATATCTCCTCATATTTATCAATGATCTAGTTTGGTCTAATCAAGTTATTTACTCCCAAAATATATTCATCTTCATCTTAGTGTTCTGATGGGAAATTTTCATGGATTATTGATAACTTAGGCAAGTAGCTTTCAAAATATTCAGTTAAGTCAAGACCTTTTTAAATAAGGTAAACTAATTTTTTGTCAATGAGATAGTTGAGCCCATGATCATTTTGATATTTTGTCATTAACTCAAGTAGAATATTTAAACTTCTTAACTAGTTTTTCTCACAAGCTACATCAATTGGTGATTTTCCATTAATTTCATTTTTAAGGATAATCAGAGGAATTTATGATTTTTCCATGATAGAGAGTTTCTTTCCAATAAATTCCAATATCAAAGGTCTTAAAGCCATCTAATTCAAGATATTACCTATACCAGGATAGAATTTTATGTAAGATGTTAGATTATTCAATTCTGTAAGTAAATAATCATTATTTTTTAGCTTAGATTCTCTGATTTTTACTACCTCATCAGTTGTAAAAAATGAAGAAATAAAAGCTATTTTCTTATCATTTTATTCATGAAAATAGCTCATACCATTATTTTTATCAATCTCTACAAATTTAGCATGCGGTATATGATTTAGCTTAATAAGAGGATAATCTAGGTTACTGTTTTTATTGCTTTAATTTTTCTTCAAGGGATCGCATTTCTATAACCAGGTATTCTCTTGATACTTACCTTACTCATTTGTGCTGAATTCATAAAACTCAAAGCTGCTATCTAATGGATTTCTTAAAAAATGAATATTTCTTGGGTAATACTTTAAAGTTTCTTCAGGATAAATTGGACAAATTATCCTTTTTTGAGTGAATGATCTATTTTTTATCTCATAAATTATATACATATCTGGATTAATTAGAGATGTAATAAGATAATCATCTTTTACTATTGGTTAAACCATTTTTTCAGAAACAGAACTTTTAAAACTTAGTTATGGAAGTTCTTAGAGAGTGTCTAGATCATAACCTTAGATTGTTTGGGAATCTTTTAATCCAAAGATTATATTAGTGTTCCAGCATATTGTTAAATATTTAAATCCAAAATCACCTTAAAATTCCTTAATAGAATTTTATAGAACATCATACTTAAAAACGGTCTTGTTAGCAACTATAATAATTAGTATCTCTCCTGTCTCTTCATTTTTGAAAAGTTTATAAATATCATCTCTGGTCAATTTTCCAAATTTTCCTTCGAATGGATTAACTTTTTAAATTTTAGCTGAATAATCTTTAAGATTGATTATAAGATTCGTAAAAAATTCGTTAAAGGAGAGTGCTACTATTTGAATTTCTGAGCTTGTTATGGAAACAACTTAGTGCTATTCATGATGAAAGCCATCTTCCATAGTCAATTTGTAGAATACTGAAAAATCATTTTGTTTGACCAAGTAAAGTTCTTTTCTTTTTACTCCAACCATTAAATATTATGAGCCTAATTACAAAAATGTAGTATAATCTGAAGGAATAATATTAGAAATAACTCCAACATCCCTTTTTTTAGATATATCAAAAACATTCATTTATTCGTTGAATAAGTATGAAATAAAATTTCTATCGCACTTGAATCTATTAGTATATTTGATAACTAAGTCGTCTTCTTGATAAAACCTAGAGTTATAGAGTTTATAATTGTAAAATTTTTTCCTATTATTGTTCAAATATTTTAAAAGACCATCATCTTAAAAAAAGAAGCAACTAAACTCATCATGAATTTGGCTCAATGTGAATTGATTTATAAGATTAAATCTAAGTTTATCGTATACAAAAATTGCTCCATTTGTTCCAGGTTTTTATTATTTTCCATTCATAACTATCGAATTTGGTAAAACTAGTGGCTTTTTGTTTTCAAATACAAAACCTTCGGGAGGGATTAGTTGTCCAATCTTAATAATTTACATTGAGTAGATATTTATTATTTAGTATATATTGAATGAAGAATCATATCCTAAGTATTACATATCGTAGCTGAAGAAAATTTGATAGTCAAATTCTTGCTTGATTTTTAGTGTATCTTGATCAAATATCAATGTTTTAGAATGCTTTTGATATGTAGCAAACAGACATTTATTTAAGAAGAAATTACTTATTTAAAAATCTGGGTAGCCAGTAATACTTTTCAAAATTCCATCTGGCGAAATATAGATCAATGGTTCGTTTTTTCCAATATCTCTTTTTGGTATGTCTTTATACCATTCCTAAAGGTCATATACTTTTGTATTTGAGGAGTCAAAGCATGCAACTTTTTTCATTATTCTATTAATCTCCATAGCGGTCTTCATCTTATTGTGAGAATAAAATATAATTTAATGGACCGAAAAATACATTCTTGAAATGATATGAAAATCTTTGTGAAATTATCTTAACAGCAGGTTCCTTATTATCAAAGAAGTCATCAATCTTTTAAATGCAGATTGTTAGATCGTTGGGTTCACTAGATCTCCTATTAATGCTGTAAAGAAGATATTCTCTGCAGGGAGAGATCTAAAATCTGTTAAAAGCTCTAATCTAATTTTATGAGGTGAGATCATAGTTTTTTCTGTCAAGAATTTTCAATTTAATTTCCTCATATGTTTTGGCGTCTCTTAACATGGCAAAGGCAACATTATCATCATTCGCACTACCGTTGATAAAAATTTATGTTGAGTTTTTTACTAGCTAATAATCTCCTGCTTATAAGAACTTGACGTATCTTGATGATAGCTCACCTTCTTCAATTATGCTGATGTCAGTCAAATTCACATAATCTTAATAAAGAGTTTTATTTTAATTGACTTGGACAATT